ACTGCAATAACGTGCTCGTGCTTATTGTGGGCGCTCGTTATGACGTGCAGGACTCTGGTCAGTTGCAGTGTCGTGGAGTGTTCCGCTCTAAATCCAAACTGCTCCAGGCGTGGTTTTAAATGTGGTTGTAGATGTTTGAGGAGGAGTTTCTCAAACACCTTTGACATGTGTTGCAGTAACGTCACTGGCCGGTACGATTCCGGTTTCAGTACGTTCTTACCGGGCTTAGGCAGCGTGATGACTTTGCCTATCTTCCAGTGGTCTGGGAAATGCCCTGTGCGTACTATTCCATTGTACAGGCGCGTCAGTGCCGCTATAGTGCGCGGCGGCAGGTGACGCAGCGCCGTATTTGGGATGTTGTCGCTGCCGGGGGCTTTCCGAGGCTTCGTCTTTCTGATTTCACGCTGCACTTGTCCCGGTGTAAAGACAATCGGATCTTCGTGAGGTGATAGTGGCGATGATAGGTACTCCTTCACGAAGTTGTCTATCCGTGCAACATGATCACTATTTGAGGATGGATTGAGCTGGAACTGGCGCTCTAGGTGATCCGCGTGAATCTCCGCTCGGTCTACTGCGCGGTACCTCGGTGTTCCGTCGTTCGCCAGTAGAGGTCGGACTGGGGGGTGGGAATTTGTTAGCCGGCGACACAGGCGATGAATGCTGTTCCAGTCGTCACCGGCTTCCTCTACGTATCTTTCCCAACTCTCCTTTCTGTGGGACTCGATGTCACGCTTTATTTCTTCTGCAAGCTTGTTTAACCTCGTTTTGGTGGTGGGGCATCTGGTGGCCTGCCAGTCTCTGCGCAGTCGGCGCTTAACGGCGAGCTTCCTCTTTATTGCAGCCGGGATGGTATTGGTTGTTTTCGCTACCTTTCCCGGCTGAGATGCGTTTTGCATGGCGGCCTGTATGGAGACTGACAGGTCTCCCGCAAGCTGTTCGACGTCGGCGGAGGTTAAAATTGCCCTCGTTGGCGTGTTGTCCTGCATGAAGTCCGTGAATTTCCCCCAATCCGTCCGGCGGCGCGGGGCCTGCGGCGTCAGGAGCACCGGGGTCATCAGGATATCCATGCACACGGGAAGGTGGTCGGATTGGACGTCCTCCAAGAGGACTTCCTGCGTCAGTTGGCTGTCCAGTCCCTTGTAGAGGGCTATGTCGAGCACGTCGGGTATTCTTGCGGCGTCGTGGGGATAGTGTGTAGGTACCTCTGGACCATGCACAGCGATATTTAGTTTCTCTACTATCCCCAGGAGTTTTCTGCCTTCGGCGCTGATTATGTTGGAGTTCCAAGCCGTGTGTTTACAGTTCCAATCTCCTGCGGCGATGGTCGGCAGCGGCTCCTTGAAAAGGGCCTCGACGTCGGCCGTTGCAAGTTTCGTTGTCGGCGGTTTGTATACTGCAAACACACGGATGGGATTTCTATTGTTGCACAGCTCGATCCCAAGTGCGTACATCGATCCAAGTTGCACCTGTGGGAGCGGCTGGTGGACGATGTTCCTCCTTACTAGGACAGCCAACCCGCGATACACCCTTCGGTCGTCCGTAAGCTCGTCCTTGCGGTATGCATGGTATCCCGGTATGTGGAGTGCGTCGGCGGCCCCTAGCATCGTCTCCGAGATGAGACACACGTCGACTTTATACTCCACGAGCATCAGTTTCAGTAGGGGCAGCTTCTTGCGGATCCCGTCCGCGTTCCAGTGAACTATTCTTATCATGCTAGCTGCGATAGTTTCACCAGGCCCGCGGTTATTACCGGCAAGGGGTCTGCGCCGGTTTGTACCGCGACTAGCACCTCCATCAAGATGTTAATCATCGCCCTCATCAAGTGGTTGTTGTTGGAGGTGCTGGATTCCAGTGGCTGCTTCGCCATCTTCCCCTTGACACTTTCGTGTTGTGGCGCCGCGCTTGATGCGGCCTTTTGTGTGGCGGCTTCGTATTTTGTGGGGGCGGCGACCGCAAGCGGACGGGTTGTTTTTGCCGAAGCCTGTGTCTTGGTCGGCGCGGCCTCAGTGGGTGCGTCTTTGCGTTTCCCTTTCTTCTTCTTCTTGCCTCTCTTCTTTTTACGGGGTTTTTCAGGCAGCTGTTTCCCTCTTTCTGTAGCCGGGTTTGCCGCGGCCATCAGGTTGGATTCGTTGGTGCCGCCTGGGAGCGTCCTATCTCGCCCGGCGAGTTGGCCTGTTGTTCTGGGCGCCGTGCCCGCCTTTCTGTTTCTTATTTCTCTTTTGAAAACAGGGCAGGCGGGGTTGTTAGCGGTGTGGTTTTCTCCGCAGTTTGCACAGGTCGGAGGCTCCTCTCTGGGCCGCGGGCAGTCCCTGGCTACGTGTTCACCCCCGCAGCGGACACATGCCATCTTCCTGTGACACCCATGGGAGGAATGCCTGAAACTTTGGCAGCGGTGGCATTGCGCGGGGCCGTTCTTGCCCCGCCAGGCTTCGATTTTCACCCCCGGCATGCAGAGTAATTCATCAATAGCGTATATGCCGGGGGTGATGCCTGGGGTGCGCTTGATCTGTGCGTGAAATATGCACCCCGGGCGGCCCTGACGTGCTTTGATCTGACGGATGTACTCAGGAACGTATCCCAGCTCCGTCAGGGCGTCGGCAATGTCCTCCACTGGAGTGTCGGCTGGTATGCCCCGGATGGCCACTTTCAGACTCCTCTCCGCTGGCAGTTGGTAGGAAAACCAACTTATTTTTTCCGATTTCTCGAGGTCGGAGAGGTACCTCTGGATGACACGGTACTCATCCTCGGACCTCGGGGTGAATCTCACCCCTTGCCATAGGGGCGGGCGTTCGGGGCGCAGTTCAGCAACTTTTTCAAGTTCTTGAAGTGGCGCACCCAGTCGGGCAGGTATTCCACTATTAGCGGGGGCAATCTGGGTCTTTTTGCCGCTGGCGGGGGCGGGGGCGGTGCAGTGTCTCTTGCTGTGCTTGAGGCCGCGCCTTGGTTTTTCGTCATGTCCGGTGGTTGCGTAGGGGCCCTTACTGCGCCCGCATATGTCTGGCCCTGTGAGTGGGCTGGCACTGGGAGTTCCCTGGGTCTCAGCCTTGGGTCTCTCTGTGGCAGTGGAGTCGATATCTGCGGCGGTGAAGGCTCTTGGCAGGGACGCTTGTGTCCCTCGTTTGCCGCGGAATCTGGGCTTCTAGGCCTTCGGGCTGGTCGTATGGCTGCCAGTTGGAACGATCGACCCATCTCTCTTGCCAGCTCCATCTCCTCTATTGGAGGCGACGGCTGGTCCCTCAGTCTCTCCGCTTCATCCCCCACCAGAGCGGCGATCCTCTCTTTCATTCCCTGGGAGAGGAGGTCCGCGGACAGCACTTGCGCCAAAATCAACGAGTCTCGCTCTAATGTTGATTTCGGCGAAAGGCCGCCCGACGAACCCCCCCTCCGGAACTCGGAGAGGCTCGCCGCCCCCGGCGGTGGCATGCCGCTCGAGGTGAGGAACGAGGTGCCCGCCTCCGCGAAGTCTTCCGATGGCGACGGTGATGCGGGCGATGGGGGGACGGCGGCTTGTTGTTGTGAGGGCCCCTCTGTGGTGGTCCTCGTTGCTGGATGCTGTTGTTGATGCCGGTAATTTGCACTGGTGACACTGTTTGCACTATCACTCGGCACTTGTTCGCCGCACTGAGCTTGATGCCTTAGTGTCGCCGGTAAACCGGCGCGAGGGATGGTTACGCCTGCACGGTTACTGCACGGCGCGGTTGCATCGTCGCGTGGCGGGTTTGTCGTACCCGTGGCACGTTGCGCGGCGCGGGAGCGGGAGCGCTCTCTCCCCCGCGAGGGGGAGATCGCTGTACGCGGGCGCTGCGCACGGGCGCGCGCTGGAGGGGGGGCAGCGGCGGTTGAGCCCCCCTCCTGCGGTAATGGTACACTGTGGCCCTGATAAGGGCCTTTTTCGTCCGGCCGCCTGGCCGGGCTCGGCATTCTTCGAATTCTTCGGATTCACCTTCCTTCTGCTTCACAGGTCGTCCTCTCAAGCAGTCGTCCGCGATCCCTTCATTCTGGGGATGCCTGTCCCCGGATGGACTTCAATCTTGGGTAGGCGGGGTGGGCTATTCTCAACTGTCCGCTCCGATGACAGCCGGTTCGTTGCCTGGTACGTTTGCAACAACAAACGCACCAGACAACGTCTTCTCTCCTTGGTGCTGGCTACGGTGAGTTCGCTGGATCCGTGCGGTGCGACGTTGAGGCGATGGCGGGGCACACTCGAAGTTACCGCTTCGATGGTGCTAGTGCGGCGGTGCACTCGGTGGAGCTGGTACGGTGGTGCACAAGATGGTGTAGCCGCGTTGCTAGTACGATGGCGCTGCCGCGGTGCTGCTCGGTCGAGTTGCTGCGGTGGCGCACACGCAGGTGTTGTAGCGGTGCCGAAGCGGTGATGCTGCTGCGATGTATCTTCAGTGCTGCCAAGCTGCTGCCAAACTTTCCCTTCTTGTCGCTTCGACTGCTGGCCGATCCGAATGCCGCTCGACGGGAGGCGGCCTATCTTTATACCCGCCCGCTCGCACGATAACGTTTCCAACTCGCGATAGCGATCTGTGCGAGCGGGACGGGGCGAAAATGAACGAGACGCGTTTCTCTTCAGATCGGTACTCTATAGCGTCTATTTATTTATTTTATTTCAATTTACAATTTCTTAATTCTATTTATTGTTACAATTTCTATTCGTAGGTAATAATGACAACACGCAAAGGAATACTTTATTTAACTTACACTATCTTAAATCTATGTAAATCTATATAAAATAACAGAATACAAAACGATTAACTAGGACTTAACAACTATAAATTACGATATATACAAATAATGTCGCGAACAGATATAATAAAATATGAGGAAAATGGGGTTACTAATTAGATAAAAAATTTATTAGTAAATGTATCATGGTGAACAATAGTCAACAAGTTCAAACAATTACGTTTCTTCACGGTCACCCCACTTTTCTCTGAAGCAGAAACTTTCGAGTCTGAGGTATGCTTAATTTATAATTTCGTTTTAATAAGAAGAAATGGAACAGTGCGATGCTGATGCACTAAAGCCGGAACCGGGCACTGATGCAGCTCACACAGAGGGCATATCTGGCTCTAGAAGAGAAAATCTGACAGAATCTCCAACCCCAACTGCCACGCCTGATGATACTCCATCTGCAAGTGCGCCCGCGACCCCTGCCGAAACTCCAAGAACTACTCCGAGGTCTTCAAAAACAAATATGTAATTAAGTGAGTATTTAAGTAATGTAACATTTTCATCCCCGTGTTATAGAATACACACTCTGCTCTTGCAAAATTAAGGTAAGTAATATTAATAGAGTATCTGCCTATAACAGATATCTGACAATATTGGCAACGAATCTCTAAATAAGTTTGCAAACGCATATATTTCAGGAATTCTCTCTCTATATATATACATATATATGGCATACTGTATATAATATAATATAAAAGAGTCATTTAAAGAAATCATAATGCTGTTATGTATATTACAAATTTTATTTACAGACATTATAGGACCCTATGAAGCAGGAGGTGATATTGGATTTACCGATGACTTTCTTAATATGATTGGCAGTGTAAGTATATCGAAATCTGAAGTCAATTATCTCTTTTTAGTTCTATCTTCTTATAATATAATTAATGTTAAAAAGGAGATTGATCTAAAAACCATTTTAAAAGGATAAATTGTCATGTTCGCAAAAGGCAAATAATAAGAGAAATTAAATACGAGTAAATAGGTTTAATAGGTAGGTGGGTACCAGTGGCGTAACAATAGGGTGGCAGGGCTGGCAAAATGCTACGGGTCCCCGACCCAAAAGAACCCCGGCTCTAGAGGCCGCGGTCGGCCGCGTGCCAGGATTTTTTTTTTACATTGTACCAGTGTATTTTATTTTACTTGAAAAGTTTTTTTTTTTACTGATAGGGCCTATGATGGCAAAAGAATTTGCCACAGGCCCCATATGGTGTAGTTACGCCACTGGTGGGTACTATTATAGATACAGGATGTAAGATACAAGGTGGTACAAAAAACAGCTGATTCAGATGAATGGTCTGAACCAGATGGCAGATTATTTGCCCACCGGAAATGTACCACAGCCATGTAATTAACGTTTCTTAGGTAGGTAGTGTCGTACGCTTGTGGCTTTTTTTTTGATATGTGAAAATGGAATGGTAACCCCGCCTGCGCTAATGGTATCCGCTGGCAGGGCACCAGTGAAGGGTGATCGATGAAAATGAAAACAGGCCAGTTAGCCCATCATGATGAATTCATCAGGAATTAACCATAATAGTTTCCAGGGGAACCGCGAGGAGGTCCACCTGATTAGGTATATTGCTAGCAATGGGATTCTCAGTCTCCATTACTAACTATTGCTAGCAATATAGAAAATATATGCCAGGTTCACCTCCTCGTGGTTCCCCCTGGAAACTATCATAGTTAATTCCTGATGAATTCATCATGATGGGCTAATTAGCCTGTTTTCATTCTTATCTATCACCCTGCACTGGTGCTCCGCCAGCGTATCCCGTTAGCACAGGCGGGGTTACCATACCATTTTCACCCATCAAAAAAAAATCTATACCTACCTATGTAACCTACTTACGCACATAGTTAACTGCAGTTAAATAGATAGGTAGGTAGGTACATATTTACCTATTTATGCTGCCTATCTAATTTCAATTATTACTTACTCTCTGAATACATGACAATTTACTCTCAAGTTAGTTACAAACTAGCATAAATATTGCATTACAACATATATGATAATGATGAACTCATTGGCGGGGTTTCTTTAGGATGGTGAAAACTGCAAGATATTGATTATAGTGAAAAACTATGGAAGGAGGTCCGGTCCCTCTATGTACTTCTGTATACTTTAGAAACAGTCCTAAACAGTAATAAAATGGAACCTGATTCTACAGCTCCAACTTGACGAAATACCATCAATACTCTGAAGACTTCAAAACGATATATTTAATGTGAACAAATATCAAAGATGTTAAACGGATAAAATATTATTTTTAACAGAAAATTTAAAAATATAGTAAAATTATATTAAATACATTTCTGTTTTTTATTCACATCCTATACAAGTGAACACGCCTATGTAAGGTAATTATCTATTACGTTCTTTATTTTAAAATTATAAAATATTAGAAATCTTTCTTCATTTTCCCTTTTTTTTTTATTTAATTTGGCTTTAATTTACATGATTTCGTATCTTCAGAATCGTGTTCATTTGTATTGGAGAATGGAGGATGATTTCAAGTAGGTAAATCTAAAATTATTCCTTTCATTTTTATCATTATTTACCGTTTTCTTATTTTGATTTCAGGGTGGTCTTCTAAAAGGTCGTAAGTATTATACAGGTGTTGTTCATAAAAAATATCATATTTATTTCCAATTGGTTGATAAGGATTGAAAAAAAAAATTATATCGGCACAATATACAGTTTTCTTAAATTTAATTTCAGCGCAACCCTCATACTTAAAATTTACGAGTAAGTTTTACATTTTTCTTTGATTAAAGCTAGGTAAAAGTAACAGCGAAACTAAATACTTTTCCTGAAAAAAAAAAACATGCCTCGTAGTTTATTATAAAATCATTGTCGAAAAATGACGAAAAAAATTGTGTCTCCTAAACTAAGTTTACAGATGAATGCGTCATGTTAGCACCTAGTTAGTACTTTTTACAATTTTTGTGAAATATTTATAAATAATAATAATATATATAAATAAAATGAATATATTATAGTTATATAATGAATTCATTATTTATTAATACTGGTTCAGTAACAGTAATTCATTACTGGTTGGGTATATTGCTAGCAATAGGATTCTCAGTCTCCATTACTAACAATCCCTTTCTCCCCTGACACTATCAGTAGGTACCATATTTATACAAAATGCATTTGTCCAGGTGAAGCCATGCAAATGATCCATGATGGAATGAAGAAGGAAAATAGCAAGGGTTTTCTGACGATTAACAAATTCAAAAAGAACCATTCAGAGGCTGTTGACAGTACTTTTTTTCTATTTTTGTTATTTTGAATGTCATTTACGAGCATATGTATGCATACCAAAATAATTTATATAATCTACCTGGGAGACACGTTATTGTAACATTGTCAGAGATATTTTTTCTTATGGCTCTCTCTTTTCTCTATATCTCTCTATTTTCTCTTATATAAATATCATAGTCTTCTGCAGTGACGATAACAGAACCTACGAGTATACGATAAACACCTGCATTTAGTTCATAGTGTAATTAATAACTATACCCAATAATTATTATATTACATTACACCAGTGGACTATTAGCATTATTTACAAATCTGGTGATTGCAGTAAAACGATTTTTTAAACATACCACCTACCCATTCATTCTTTAATTCCTTCTACCCAAAACGTTATCTGGTCGAGATTACTTACCAATAAAACCGCCTTGTAGGTATAATGGGTAAGTGCAACTTTGTCCGAGTGGTCAACCGCCGAATCCAGCTCGGCTGGGCAGCGTTCGAGAAACTACGCAACATCTTTTTATCCAAAATACCTCAGAATTTGAAGACGAAGGTCTTTAACCAGTGCGTGTTGCCAGTGATGACTTATGGAATCGAAACATGGTCCTGCACGATTACCCGTATGCAAAAGCTTCAAGTTACTCAGCAGACTATGAAGAGAGCTATGCTCGGAGTCTCTTTGCGTGATAGAATCCGAAACGAGGATATTCGCAAAAGAACCAAAATAACCGACATAGCCCGAAGGATAAACAAGCTGAAGTGGCAATGGGCTGGTCACATAGCTCGAAGAACCGACAACCGATGGGGGAGAAAGGTTCTTGAGTGGTGACCGCGTACGGGCAAACGCAGTGTAGGACGACCCCCCACTAGATGGAGTGACGACCTGAAATACATTGCAGGGAGTCAGTGGCTGCAGGTGGCTCAGGACCGTTCTTTATGGCAGTCTATGGGGGAGGCTTATGTCCAATAGTGGACGGATAATGGCTGAAATGATGAATAATGAAGACCGCCTTTTGTACTACATTATGTTTATTCAAAACTCTTTAACAAATCTTGTAATATTTGTGCAGTAAAGTTTTAAATAAATATTTTTTTAGGATGAGTTCAGCCCATCACTTCGGAGGACATCATCCATCTACAGTCATATTAAACAAAGTTACTAGCGGAATTGGCTTGCTCGATACAAAACGAGGGTCAGCACTGGCAAAAGCAAATATGAATGGTAAGTTTTAAATTATAAAGAATCAAAAATTCCTGGCCAGTAACAGATCTAAATATGTAAAAATCAAAGAAAACCTAGAGCAATTGCTGACGAGTATTTCCGGCCGTGAATAGAACCTAAAACTTTTACCTACATCTTGATCCAAATTAAAAACAAGTACAAGTTAACATTTAAACTATAACTTTATTAAAATATATTTCAGATACTTCCAGCCTTACAAGTATGTTTATTGCTGACATAGCTAGCAAAGATTTTATGCTTAAAAATACTAAAATAGGAAGATCCTTCTAATTATTCATATTCGGAAATCCTAAATAATTATATTAAATAATATATATTAATAATCAAATTAAAAAGGCACACATTCTTAGCTGTATTGTATTCATGGAGTTGATTACTGACATTTGCTAGAATTTTTTAATTTGCATAATTGTAAAAATCTCTATATTATACTCTTGTTTCTTCTCTTTGGAATACAGTTTTTTTTATGTTTATTGTTAATGAAAATATGAATTGTTTAATAAACTAATTATGATAATGTTTTAGATGGTCTTGATGCCAAAGCACTTGCTTTATTAGATGGCAAACATTTCGGCAGTGCTGCCGGGTATGCATATAATTTATTTTATCACAAGTAGTTAAAGTAACATAATCTGGAGGGTAACTAACAGAATTAGAGTTTTAATTAAGACAACTTCCCATTTGTTACAGTTATGCTATTTAATTTTACCATTATTATCTTACTTAGTTAAGCATATAGTCATCATCTTATGATCATATCGTGTTATTAATAATAAATTTTAATTGCGTTAATAGAAGAATTATTTTAAAGACATGAATATATTTCTATATAATTTTTTTTTTTTTATTAAACTTAGAATGGCAAACAAGCTGACGGTCCACTTGATGGAAAGTGGTAACCATTGCCTATAGACACAAGCAGTACCATGGACATAATACAGTATACTGTTTCGTCCATGATACCCCCCATGTTACCCCCTATTGTTTAGACATCATCCATAATTCATCAATTTTTCTTCAGAATGCATATGATCTAGCATAGCATTTTATTTTCTGCAATGTCTGTAGTATTCTTACGTCGCAGCAACTCTTTTTTATAATGTAAGTGTAAATTATAGAGGTATAAGTATTTTAATATTTTATATTGTTAATTTGACAGAGGTCAAGTAGCTGGGCACTCAGGACTAGTTGCTGTCAGTACGGGTGCACCTGGTGCGAGCGTATCCGGTGCAGGTGTAGGATCGCGACCTTCTCTCATTTTTAAAACTGACGGTAAAAGTTTGTCGATGACATTAGAGGATGAACAAGCTCCTCAAAAAAGAAAGGAGGAAGAAGCCCGCCAAAAACGAGAAGAAACAGAATCCCACTGGAAAGCAGAAGAAGAAGAAGCTTGCCGGAAAATAAAAGAAGAAGCTCGTCAGAGAGGAAATGAAGCCCGCCGAACAACTGAGCAAGGAGAAAGAAGGCAGTCGGGTAAAAGCCCAAATCGGAGATTTCCTCTTATTGAACGTAAGTGAGTAAAATTATGATGTTTATTCAATATGTAATTATTTGTATTATATATAGGATTATATTTACATGAGCAACTTTCAAAAAGAAAGTGTCCCTAAATAAATGTGTTTTCTTTTTTCTCAACTGATTTTAATAATAATTTTTGTATGTAATGTTGTTAAACTTGGAGGTATATATTTCTTTTTTTAATTAGACATCAATTTGAATAATTATTAATTAAAATCAATAGAAATTGACCCGGAACTTGAAGCAGCAATGCAAATATTACACCAACAACTCCGTGCCAAAGGCGACCAATTATTTTACCAACAACCCCACCAATCGTTGTCGCACGCTCAAATCTTAGAATGGTAACTCTTCACCGGTATTATTTTATACAAGTAGAAAGGCAAAAAATGTACCTATACAAAGATATAGTCAGCACCGTAAAGATCGCAAGTTATATAGTGACGTCAAAAGCTCGTTGTTTAAACTACTGCAGTTAACCGCAGATGGCCTTTACGGCTTCAGCGTACGCATGCAGGAGAGAATGCTGAAGGCATTCCAAGCCAGATCGATTGAAGGTCGAATCGCTTCATTTTTGATAATGTTATTACCTGATTAGCAGAATACCATGGCTTCGCTCGCGTGAATCAGTATATAAAGTATTCTGTGTTCTACAATAGGATATAACCTATCCATTTCGTTAAAATCCTTTTAGTAATGTTAAAGTGTAAAACAAACATCCATCTGTTCTTACATCCACACAAACTTTCGCGTTTATAACTAGTGGGATCTCAAGGATTTTCTTTCTTATCTCTTGTCGTATTTATGGTAGTGAAATTAATGGGCACCTAACCTACTTTGAAAGTCTTCAAGGTCTTCATAATATTATATTGAGTTACATTTGTTAAGGTTGAAGAAATCTCCGATGATAGTGGACAAAACAGTAAAAGAGTCAGGGGACACCGCACGACTTCATAATAAATTCGAAAGGAAATTAAGTACATTGGTCAGTAAGCATACGCCGGCGCATGTGAACGACTCAATGCAAGATAATTATTTAACAACTTGTTTTTATCCGCGACTTT